TAGGTGGTAATTACATGGCTATTCACTCTGTGACAATGTATTGATCTGTACCTTTGTTTCCTGTGTTCTTTTCTGTGTTATATTTCACAGCAAAATTTCTGAAAAATTAATATGTAAGCTATTCAAAAGGAAATTATTTCTGTATGAAAGCAAAATAAAGAGCCTGTCAACAATATGTACTGAAAACTTACTACACTGCCGAGCACCTTGCAAGGTGCTGTGAAGGTAGATATGAAAGATGCAGAAAAGAATACATCTGCGATCTAAAGAGGTTAGATGTGATACGAAATTTAATATACCTGAAACATATGTGAATATTGTTATTATAATAACTAAATGACTTTTTCCAAGAAAACTTGTCAAGAGTTACACATTTCAGTGCACTCCATTTTCAGATGGAGTTTTCATAAGAAGAAAATGAGTACCCATTATTTACATAGCTAAATGTGTAAAATTTTAAATATACTGCTGGTATTTAAAACCCCTACTCTCAAATTTTTTTTTTTTAGTTGGAGTATAATTGCTTTACAATGTTGTGTTAGTTTCTGCTGTACAGTGAAGTGAATCAGCTGTATGTATACCTATATCCCCTCCCTCTTGGACCTCCTTGGTCCCCCCATCCCACCCACCTAGGTTGTCACAGAGCACCGAGCTGAGCTTCCTGTGCTTTATAGCATGTTCCCACTAGGTAACTATTTTACACATGGTAGTGTATATATGTCAATCCTAATCTCCCAATTCGCGCCACCCTCCCCTTACCCCACTGTGTCCACATGTCCATTCTCTATGTCTACATCTCTATTCCTGCCCTGCAAATAGGTTCATCTGTACCATTTTTCTAGATTCCACATATATGCGTTAATATACTATACTTGTTTTTCTCTTTCTGGCTTACTTCACTCTGTATGACAGACTCTAGATCCATCCACATCCCTACAAATGACCCAATTTCATTCCATTTTATGGCTGAGTAATATTTCATTGTATATATGTACCACATCTTCTTTATCCATTCATCTGTCATTGGACATTTAGGTTGTTTCCATGTCCTGGCTATTGTAAAATCTTTATAACTATAAATATATTTATGTGATAAATGTGATTTTGTTCGTATAATTAAACATTACAAATTTATCCTTAGCAAATACTTTCCAAATTACTGGGGAAAGAACTACTGAAGTTGTAGATACTACATATTTTCTTATGGTTTGCAAAATATTTTTAGTGTCCTGAAAATACTAATATTTTATACTACTTCACCTGAGTATTTTTAAGAATGCAATCACAAAGAGCAATTGAATTCTTTTATCATAGTTTTTAAGTATAAATATTCTAATTTTCCCCTCAGAATTATTCCACCTGGACCAGTAAGTCTTCTTTCCTGGCTGAAATTCTGATTTGCAGATTAGTAGCACCATCTAGAGTTCTACCTACATATATAGTACTGACTGTACAATAAAAGCCAAAAAACAATGTACACGTTGCCAAGGTAACCTGCACGACCACCATGAATACCAACACAACGGGGGGCTTCTGTGATGACCCGACAGAGATGGCTCTCAGCTTACCAGTTTCAGAGAGAAAGGGAGACGTGTGTGTGTGTGTGTGTGTATGTGTGTGTGTGTGTGTGTGTGTGTGTGTGTGCACGCACATGAGTACACATGGAAAGAACCATTTTGGGTATTTGGCCCTAGAGGTCAGAAGAGGACTCAAGCAGGAGAGCAGGGCCAGGCTCACAGGAACGGCAGTTGCATAAAAGCACACCCTTTCCTGTGGGACCCTGCAGGTCAACAGGTTAGGGCACGAGCAGGCCACCAGATCGGCCCCAGGTCACCTGTGGAACGGGAAAACATGCTCCCAGTCTGGGGCTGTACCACCTCCTGGAGCCCCCGGCTCATCCCTGCTGGCTTTGCCACTAAACTGACTCTCAGGAACTAGAAATGTTGAAGATTTCTAGCCAGAAAACTGGAGGGCATCTTTATAAGCACGACCCCAAACGAACAACACTCCTGCAGCCGGAACTCTGCCGCCAGGGCAATTACTGCCTTCACCTTCGAAGCCTGCCCCTGAGTGAGGAATTTCTTTCCTACCGATCCTCCTTCGGCTAAAAAAATGACAGAAGTGAGTTGGATGCGATACAAGTCACAGGGCAGAGCTTCGGTGGCCCTGCGTATCGGGAGGAGTTGAAGCTGGAGCGGCTCCTGTGACTGCGGCGGCCAGGGGACCTGCGCCGAGGGGAACGCGACCTTCTCCTCATCCGTGGGGGTGACCTGCGCCACATGGGAGGCGGTGGCAGCATTCTCCTGGGAGGGTTGAATCGCCGGGGGGCTGGGGGAGGGGGTTGGCCGAGGCCAGGGGGCCAGCACAGCCGTGGCAGTGATCTCCTGGCCATCGATGTGTCCTCCGTCCATGTCCATGTGCTTCAGCGCCTTCTCTGCCTCATCTGGATTCTCAAACTACACATATGCGTAGCCTTTAGACAGATGCGGGTGCATCCTTTCTACAGGCACGTCAATCATTTTAATTTTCCCATAGGTGGAGAATATCTCCATGATGTGATCCTTGGTCACATTCCTTGTGAGCCTTCCAATGTGCACTTTGGTAGGTTTAGGCAAAGGGCTCTGCCTTTTCCTTTCCTTTTCATCTCTTTTGGGTGGTTTGGATTTGGAGCGGGAACGCCGCCTCTTGTCCTGCCTGCGCCGAGAAGGACTCGGAGAGCCAGGGGAGCTGCCGGAGCTGGAGCTGCGGGATGAGCTGGAACTTCCTGAGCGGCTCGATGCTGAAGATGAGCTGGAGCCGCTGCTGGGGCCGGTGCTGGTGCTGGAGCCCGAGCTGGAAGTCGAGCTGGACCGAAACCTGGTGCTGCTGCTACCACTGGAAGTGCTGCGCCTCTTTCGAGTTTTATCCCTGCCACGATCCTTCTCGCTCGACTCCTTGGTGGCCCCCTTATCTTTAGAGCGATCCTTGAACTGCTTATCAGAGCGGTCTTTGCATTTGGTAGGAGAAGGAGCCCTAGTGCTGGACTTTTTATTCTTTTCTTTGACTCCTAGCAAGCTCTTCTTTTTCACTCCTGATAAATGCATTCTCCCCTTCTGAGGTGTTCAAAGCAGCAGTGGCGGCCTCACTTATCTGAACTCTCACTTCTAACTTGAGTCTGAGAAATGATCCCTAATCAATTGCAATTTACGCCAAAATGCAGCAAGTCCCCAGTCCAGGCGCCGGGCTGTGAGCACTTCCAGGGTAGGGCTCGGCGTTGCCGTCCTGGGTCTCCCCGGCGAGAGGGCCGCGAGGGCGGAGGCCGAGTCCCCGGCTGCCCCGAATTCCGGGTGGCCTCACTGGGCCTGCTGCAGAGCGGACCTAAAAAAGTACATTTAAAAAAAATTTTATTTTATATTGGATTACAGTTGATTTACAATGTTGTGTTAGTTTCAGGCATACAGCAAATTGATTCAGTTATACATATATCTATTCTTTTTCAAATTCTTTTCCCATTTAGGTTATTACAGAATACTGAGTTCCCTGTGCCATAGAGCAGGCTCTTGATTGTTAACTATCTTAAATATAGTAGTGTGTATTCACACAATCCCAAACTCCCAATTTATCCCTCCTCCCCACCTTTCCCTTTTAGTAACCATGTTTGTTTTTTCTAAGTCTGTGAGTTTGCTTCTGTTTTGTAAATAAGTTCATTTGTATCATTTTTTTATTCCACATACAAGCAATATCATATAATATTTGTCTTTCTCTGTCTGACTTACTTCACTTAGTATGATAATCTCCAGGTCCATCCATACTGCTGCAAATGACATTATTTCATTATTTTTAATGGGTTAGTAATATTCCATTGTGTATATGTCCCACATCTTCTTTATCCATTCATCTGTCAATGGACATTTAGGTTGCTTCCATGTTTTGGCTATTGTAAACAGCACTGCAATGAATATTGGGGTGCATGTATCCTTTTGAACCATAGTTTTCTCTGGATATATGCCCAGGAGTGGGATTGTTAGATCATATGGTAGCTCTATTTTTAGTTTTTTAAGTAACCTCCCTACTGTTCTCCATAGTAGCTCTACTAATTTACATTCCCACAACAGTGTAAGAGGGTTTCCTTTTCTCCACACCCTCTCCAGCATTTATTGTTTGTAGACTTTTTGATGATGGCCATTCTGACTGGTGTGAAGTGGTATCTCATTGTAGTTTTGATTTGCATTTCTCTAATAATTAGCGATGTTGAGCATCTTTTCATGTGCCTCTTGGCCATCTGTATGTCTTCTTTGGAGTAATGTCTGTTTAGATTTTTAAAAAATCCATTTTTAATGGCACCCTGAGTGCAATTTATTTAATACTGTCCTCATATTTATTTTTAAATATAAAATTACTTTTTAGTGTTAATTATATTAATAATATTGTACATTAAATCTCTAGTACTTATTTGTCTTATAACTGGCACTTTGATCTTGGGCTTCTCAACCTCCAGAACTGCAAGAAACACATTTCTGTTGTTTATTAGTCACCCAATCCATGGTATGGCGGCTTCATTTTGCAGGAAGAAACCTGAACATCAGTAATGTTTGTTAATTTACACCACCAGAGTGCTAGAACTAACAAGAGAAATATTCTAGAGTTAAAAAACATTATTGCTGCACTGGCTTTCTGCTGAAAGTTGTTTCTTTGAAAATGTTTTGTGAATTTCTTGAACGTCACAGAATTTAATTATTAAATTCCCTATTTTTACATGAAAAGATATTAAGATAATAACACTATTATTAAGATATAGTCTTATTGTATTTGAACATATAATTGGTCCTGCAAAGTTTCTAAGTGTGTAAGTACATAGGATGATGCACCAGGAACAGTGGTAAATGTAAAATTTGTACACCAAAGGAGGTTAGGGTTGACAATTGATGTGTGTTTGCATAGTACTTTATATAAGATTGAGAAAAAAATGGGAAGATACAATGAAAATTAGGTTCACACAAAAACCTACACACCCACATACAAATGTTATAGTAACTTTATTCATAGTAGCCAAAAACTATAAACAACTTGAATGCCCTTCAATGTATGAATGGTTAAACAAACTGCAGTGCTTCCATACTGTGGAATACTACACAGCAATAAAATAAGAATGAATTATTGTGTGTGTGTGGCACGCACAACTTGGATTGATCTCAAGGGAATTATGCTGAGTGAAGAAGCCAACCTCCAAAGTTTACATATCGTATGATTCCATTTATATACCATTCTTGAAATGACAAAATTATACAGATGGAGAACAGATTAATGTTTGCCAGGGGTTAAAGACTGGGAACAGGGGTAGGGATGGAGCCAGATGGCCATGGGTAGCGTGAGGGGTCCTTGTGATCAAACTATTCTGCATTTTGACTGTGGTGGTGGCCCACAAATCCATACATGAGATAAAAAACAACATGGAACTAAATACACACACACATGCAAATAACTGCATGTTTTAAAAACATAAAATGTCAAAAGGTTAATAGATTGTCTCAATGTCAACTTCCTGGTTGTGATATTGTACTATAGCTAAGCAAGATGTTACCTTTGCCAGAAACTGGATAAAGGATACACGGGATCTCTCTGTATTACATTTTACAACTCTGTGTGAGTCTATGATTATCTGAAAATAAAAATGTTATTTTTAAGTGGTAAGAAATTTCAGAAAAAAGAATGTTATCTCCACTTGAGGGAGTCAAGGAAGGCTTCATGGAGGAGGCATCGTTTGAATTAGACTGTAGATCTTCATGTAATGCAGTAACTCTATGGTTAATAAGGTTTTATCATTTTTAAAAGTTGAAATGAAAAATTAGAATAACAGAGAACAACTTGACAATCTCTTTTGGAATGATCCTAATAAAACTTATTTTGTAGAATTAAAATTAAACAAGAAGTCAGTGCATTCTGTTGACCTGCTCATCTCTTCATTTTGAAAATACTTATTCAAGCTATTGTGATCAAGTAGCAATTGTATAAAATAAGACTGTAGTTACAGCAACAGTTATAATAACACTGCTTCTTGAGCACCTACTATGTTCCAAGAACTTTGCTAAGCACTTCGAAATATCTCATTTTGATCTCTACAATGGTGTTTGAGGTAAATATTATTATCCCTGTTTTATAAGTGAGTATACTGAGGCTTAGTGTGTATAAATAACTGGATTAAGTCACACAATGTAAAATCTGGGATTACTTCTTAACACATTATTAACCGGGGGATTTTTGCAGAAACTAATGCCTGTGGCCGTAATATGTCTCCGGTCAAAAATGTGTTAAATCAATGTGTAAATAATAACAAAGCTATATTTTCTGCATAATACAAAAATAAAAGGTCAGTTCAACAACACTTATTGAAAGACTATTATATACAGAGCACTTTATTAGGTACTGTGGGAAGAGAGATAAAAGATGTCGCTGAGAAATGGCCTGCCCTCTTGCACAGTTAATAAGTATTATTTCAGTCATGACTTCTTAACTTTTTCCAACGAGATGGTTAAAACAGACATGTCCAGGAATGCTGAAACCCTTTATAAGTTATCTTTCAAAGAAAGTTATTTTAAAAATATGATACAGTATTATCTATTTCTCTGTGCACATAAAATTTGAACTATTGCTCATATTTTCACTGTGGCCTAACCTCTATTTCTCAAATCTTTTGTAAAAAAAAATATCAGAAATATTTCTCTGAGAAATATGATGCCATTGTGAAATTAAACTTCTAAAATTTCTCCTTAATTTAAATCTCTTCAAGTTTGTTTGCCAAAGAAATTCCTCATTATCACATTATAAAATTTATTTTAATTTGGAAAGTCACGTCCAGAAATCTGGAATATACTACTCATGGTGTCAATTTATATGGATTCATCTTTAAATGCCTTCGCAAAGATGAATTGTATTCTTTCGGTTTTACTACAGTTTTCATTATTACTTGAACATCCCAAGGGCTTGCTTCCCTGGATCTACCTGTGTGCTACCTAGAGGCCCAACTGCAAAACATACTCAAACAAGGGGAACCAATTTTTAACAGAACACTGAGAGAAATTAAGTTTGAAATGTACTTAAGTCTTTGTTTAAAATTCAACATTTTCCTCAGTTTTTTTCAAAAGAGTTCATTAAATGAAATATGTTTTTGCAAAATATTTAATGCTGTCAGTTCATATCAGATTTCCTACCTTATTTTAGCCAAGTCCCTAAATTTTATCAGTTCATATACCAGCATTATTTAGGTTGATAAAAATCAATCTTTTTCTACTAATGTTTCTTTCAAAGTGGTTACGGTACAATACAGAACTCACACGAGTAGCTATACACAATGAGGAAAGGGTAATGGAAAGATTCCGTGAAATCTCACCACCAACAGGCCTGTACGCCATGGCACTGATCCTAACTTCACAGTGCCTAGATCACTTGAATGTTGTGTATCTAACAACTCAGTAATAATTTACCAGAGCTGAAATTATGAAGGTGGTTGATATTAGGCTTTTTCTCATCAACTTTATATCTAGGCAGTGAGAAATTCAGTGTCATGCTAGAGGTAGCAGGAGGCAGCTTTCGCGATGATGTCTTCCCCCTGAGCCCAGAAGAGTCTAAGAGGCCATGGTCCAAGCACTGACTGGAAATGTGGAGGAGGGGGAGGGAGTGGTAAGAAGGGGAATCTGCAGTCATTTCAAAATAGAGGTCTGACCTCTAGCTTCATTTGCACAACTACAGCTACACACTAACACCTGGACCTTATTCCCCTTCAAGGCCTTGCAGTTTGGAAAAGCTTTAAATACAAATACACAAGCACTTGGTGATAATTCCATTTCATTCAGTAGTTTGTACTGATTCTGTTTTTATTTCCTCCTATCCAACCATACAAAAATCTTACCACATAAGGTATGCTGGTTGTTCTTAAGTGAATTTTCATTCTAGCCTCAGACTTTAAAAGAATTTGCAATAAATTGATTGGTGACATTTTCCCCATCTTCCCCTTCCTCTTGAATTATTATATTATAATATCAAGCAAATTGATGATATTTATTTTTTATTATTATATATTGACATTCTCAGTAGTGCAATGTTAAATAAATATTATTTGCTTTAACTTAGAATAAGTACATTATATAGTTTGTATAATTATTATAGGCCACAAGAAAACAGAATCTTCCCCACACTTATCTCTTGTTTGCTGGAAATGAAAATAAAGTTGTATTTCGGTTTCTCTTTGTTTCCTTAACTTTAGTTCCCATTCTTTTGCCGTCATGAAGTGTTTGGTATTCCGCTGTCTGTGTGCTTGAGCTTTCATAATGATTAAGATCACTTTCCTCATTTCATTAAGAAAAAAAACACCTAATACTTTCCTGTACATAAAAATGTAGCTCTTTCCTTTTCATACTTCCTTTTACTCTTTGTCCTGCACCTTGAAAGTGGAAATTTACCGAGATGAGAGAAACTGGGGAAATGAAGGAGGGGATCGCTTCAGATTGTATGTATGCATGAGAAATTTATGTCAACAAGCCAAAATTTGATGATAGAAAACAAGTGACTGCAAGTTGGGACAGAATCCATCTGGCAGAAGCAGGATGCTAAGTGAAGCAGAGCTAGGAAGGAAATAGCAGATAGTTTAGTTCGATCAGTCACATCCAGGTGATCTGCATGACTTCTGCAATTCTATATCTCTAAGAACGGCCTCTACACAAAAATGTGTTCCATTCTTCTAGGTTGTTCTCTCTCAGACACCAGTTTTGGAAGCGATCCAGTCCCGGAAGGCAGTCACTCTAGCATAAACACCGGGTTTATTGGGATGCCCACAGTCGTCTCCCCAGCTCACTATTCCAGCGAGGTACCAGATATCTCTAGCATCTGGACTAACCAGTGGTCCTCCGGAGTCACCCTAAAGCAGAAGGGAGAGATTGGTAATTAGTATTTCAGTTTTTCACAGAGAAATGTGCTGTTTTTCTAACATGAGTTTAATGAAAGGGGCGGTTTTCAAAAATCTTCAGTGTGCTCAAATGAGAAGCAATGCTTTTTATCTATGCCAGTAATTCACATAAAGGAGGCACTCCCCTACCTGGAGAACAGCTTAGACTCAGGGTTCAGTACACAGAGATTAAAGACTCCACCTCTTGGCAGGACAGTACTAGTCTGATACATCTGACAAAATAACTGCCCATACTCTTTATCAGTTTGACACAGCTCCCAAAAGAAGGGTGAAGAATTTATTACTGATAAAGAATACAGACATTAGGGTCAGACACCTGAGTTTAAATCTCAAGTCTGGCCCTTCGAAGCTGGCTAAGACCTTTAATTTGCTTATTTGTAATGCTCCTAATAATACCTACCTTCAATGATAATTTTGAAGATTATGCAAGACAGTGTATGCAATGTGCTCAGCATAGAGCCTGGCACAAAACAGAACTTAGTAAATATTATATATAACCACAAATTCCAATTGTTTGTGCTTTGTGAAAAACAGCCAGTGGGCTGTTTTTTTATACAGGTCATAAAAACAAGGTGCTGACTGATCTTCCCGAAAAATCCTGGGGTCTCTAGTTACCACCAATTAAGTGTTCGGCACTATATGAAACTATTAATTAATATATTATTTCATTAACCCATGTAATTCTGGCAACAAAACATGGAGTTAGGTTTCATTTTCTCCATTTTAGCAGTGAAGAAACTGGAGCCAACAGAAGTTAAGCAATTTTCCTGATATCACATGCTACTCAATATCCAGAGTGATCTAACTCAGAAGCCTATGCTTTCTTTCCCCTTACATTATACTAATTTCCTTGTGAATTTTCTTTTGTCCACATAAAAATTTTAACTAATAGTAATAATAACTCAATTAGAAATAATGTGTTTGTAATTTTTAAATCAATTAACCAATAAGTATTTACTTATACTCTCATATGTGGTAGGAGATGTAAAAAGAGTATAAACACATGAGCCCTCCTCTCAAGCAGTGTACAATCTGCTTATAGAAATTAAATGTATTATATGAAGCTATTTGATAACAAATCATTTTGATAATTGAAACCCAGGCATATGTGAAGACATAGCAGATTAGGAAAAAGAAATAGAAGATGCCAGAGACAATAAAGCTTAAATTTGTTTAAGAGACAGGAGTGAATGAGTCTGAGAATAAGGTAATTAAGGAAAAAAAGAAAGCAGTGAGTCTAACAGCATTACAAGCTGAAAACTAAGTTAATGCCAGCAAGTATCAAATAGAGAAAGATATAGTGGGTTCTGTTAACATTAGTTAGCTCACATGCGATTGGTGAATAGGGGAGTTATATCAGGATAAGGTGGAAGTTTTCATGGCTTATATGTGTTTTTGTCTTAGGCAGTGGAGCCAGAATAATGGGAGTAGAATTGCAATCTTCAGAAGAAAAGGCCTCAGCTCAGCTATTGCACAGGCGGAAGCCTTTGAGGCTCTATTTTAAGAAAATGTTAAGAGTGTCTGTGCCGAGGAAGCCCTCTCCCTGCCCAGAGTGGCACAGCCCAGGCTTGCTTAATTCTTGGGTCCTGGCAGGTCGGAGTTCCTCCTCTGCCCAGAGCTATACTCCCATGTGCATTGTCTCAGCCTCAGCAAGTCAGTTATTTCTACTCTATTGTTTCTGTGCATTTTTAACTTCCCTTAAGTCAGCCACCAGCCACCCTGGGCATTCTGTCTACCTACATTGTCTAAGTTATTTTTCAAGGTACAATTATTTTTGTTGTTGTTGATGTTAATTATCTGGTTACAAAGTTGCATAGCCTTTGAGGGGTCTGTTGGTCTGTATCTAACCCTATTTTTACCATAAATTCAGTTATTTTTAGTGAGTGGTTTAGTGAGAAACATAACAGGAAGTTTATTCAAGAATATGTGTATGGGACTTCCCTGGTGGCACAGAGGTTAAGAATCTGCCTGGCAATGCAGGGGACACAGGTTCCATCCTTGGCCTGGGAAAGTCCCATACGCGGCGGAGCAACTAAGCCCATGCACCACAACTACTGAGCTCTAGGACCCGCGAGCCACAACTACTGAGCCTGCACGCCTAGAGCCCGAGCTCTGCAACAAGAGAAGCCACCACAATGAGAAGCTCGTGAACCACAACGAAGAGTAGCCCCTGCTCGCTGCAACTAGAGAAAGCCAGCTTGCCACAAGGAAGACCCAACACAGCCAAAGAAAAAATAAAAGAATATGTGTATGTATAACTGATATAACTGATTCACTATGCTGTACAGCAGAAACTAACACAACATTGTAAATCAACTATACTCCAATAAAAAAATTTTTAAAAAAGAATATATATATATATATATCACAACAGAAACTTTTAAAACTAGAAGAAGCCAAACTAGAAACCAATGTTAGTGATCAAGATATGAAGTAATGAAGGAATAGAGTAGGGTCTTTAAAGAAAGAATAAAGACAAAGAGATAAATTTGGAAGGAATAGTAAAGAGGAAAAATATTTCATGACTTAATTGATTACATGTGAAGGAGATTTAAGAGTAAAAGAAGATTCCAAGAATAATGAAAGCCAACCACATAAATGAGAAACTTGAAATGAAAAAACAGGTAACATTTCGTGATGCCTGTTGAGTTGAAGATGGCAATTACATAAATTTTAGTCTTATACTAACAACTTAAAACATATAAATGGAAACGGTTTTGGAGTACATGAAAATGTGAGACTGAATTTGGGCAAGAGGTTAATTTTGAAGATGTAGATTTGGAAGTCATTAAAGTGACAGCTGACTTAAAGAAAAGATAATTTCTTTGAGTGAGTATATAGAGAGGAAAAAAAATGAGTGTTGAGGAACAGCCAGGCTTAGAGGGAGGGAGAGAGGAAGAGAAAGAGAAACCAAAATAAGGAACCAGGAATGAGTTGTTAGAGAAGAAGGGAGGGGAAAATCACCATATTTCAGGATCATAGAACCCAAAGAAAGATCATATTTTAAGAGGAGGTAGCCATATGCCACTGAGATGGGAAGGAGTAGGACACCCAAGTAAAGGTTTTTGCATATAAAGTTATTAATGATTTTTGAGATATTAAAATACAAGGAAGGGGCTTCCCTGGTGGCGCAGTGGTTGAGAGTCCGCCTGCCAATGCAGGGGACACAGGTTCGTGCCCCGGTCCGGGAAGATCCCACATGCCACAGAACAGCTAGGCCTGTGAGCCATGGCCGCTGAGCCTGCGCGTCCGGGCCTGTGCTCCGCAATGGGAGAGGCCACAACAGTGAGAGGCCGCGTACCGCAAAAAAAAAAAAAAAAAAAAATACATGGAGGCAGTAAAGTGGCAAAAATTGTGGAGAGTAGACATAAAAGAGGGGGGAAAATGAGTGCCAGGTCCCCCCTGAAATAGAAAAGCAGGATATTATAATCACAAGGCTAAACTTGGTTTCTCCTCTTTAATTCCCCAAATTTATGAGACATTCACATCTAATACTATTATCAAAATGGCATTGTAGAATAGGTGACATATTTTCAAGTGAAATCATATACATCTGTGATTTACTTCAAAATAGATCTAGAGTTTAGGATGGGGAGAAGAAGGTTGGGGGGTTAAAATATATAGGAATGAACTAAGATCGACCATGAGTTGATAATGTTGAAGCTGGGTGATGAGTACACACTCCAGCCTATAACAGAAAAAACTGTGGCCCCATTCCAACCCCCATAAGCAAAGGCCAATTGGGGAGCCTAGACTTCCAGCCTTACCAGGATCTAATGAGGCCTAATCCCCCATCAGACTTATGTCAGAGAAGTCTGAGTGGGGAGCCACTCTTTCATCCCTGCCAGGTGATGATGAAGCCCTCCTCTACCTCCTCTGTGGTGACCAGCTGGGGAGCATGGACTACTGCCCAATGGTAAGGAGGCATAACTTTCTCTCCCAGTAGGGTGATGTCAGAAGAGGCCTAGTGGAGAGCCAAGCAGTGATGAGGCCACTACCCCATGAGGTCAGTGGAGACCACAAGGGGAGCAGTAACACCCCATCCAGTAACAGTAACACCCCATCCAGAGTGGTATTTTTGTATTGATACTTCATCCTCACTATCTCAGGCTTTACATGTGGAATCCCCTCAATGGAAGGGGTGGGGGGTTTTCTATTCATCCAACAAGTTGGTGAGGATGGGAAAAAGAAAATATTTAAAGAAAACTATATTTAATAAGTTTCCCTAACCTTTAAAAAAACAAAAAAACAACAACCAAAAAAACCCACGCCTAGTGAAGAGCCTGAAATTCCACCTCCATCCAGCAGTAACAAAGCACTATTCACCACCCTGGTGTCAGAGGACAATGAGTGGGACTAAGATAGCACTTCCCTACCCCCTTTGGTGTCATGTCAGAGGAACCCTGTTAAAACAGAAGATACAGAGACTCATAACATAATACCCAAAATGTCCAGGATATATCTGAAAATCACTCAATACCAAGAACCAGGAATATTTTGACTTGAGTGAGAAAAGGCAATCAATATACACTGACACAGAGATGACACAGATGTTGGAGTTATCTGACAAAGATTTTAAAGCAGCCATCACAAAAATATCTTAACGAGCAACTACCACCTGCTTGAAATAAATGAAAAAATTTAGAAGTTTCAGTAAAGAAATAGCATACATAAAGGATCAAATGGAAATCTCAGAACTGAAAAATACTATAATCTACAAAAAAAAAAAAAAAAACCTCACTAGAAGTACTTAACAGAAGAATGGGGATGATGGAAGAAAAAAATCAATGAACTTGAAGACAGAATGATAGAAATTACTCAATTTGAACAGAGAGAAAGAGGAGTGGAAAGAAAAAGAACAGAAGCTTAGAGATCTCTGAGACCATAATGGAAGAGCTAACGTACCTGTTACTAGAGTTCCAGAAAGAGACAAAAAAGAAAGTAAGGCTGAAAAAGTTTTCAAATAAATAATGGCTGAAAATTTCCCAAATTTGTCAAAGGACATAAACCTGCAGATTAAAAAGCTGAGCAAGCCCTAAGCAGTATAACCCAGAGAAATCCATGACAAGATACGTAATCAAACTTCTGAAAACTAAAGACAAAGAAAAAACCTTGAACACAGCAAAAGAGAAATGACACCTCTTCTTTTAGGGAAAAACAATTCTAATAACAGCAGATTCCTCATCAGAGATCACAGAGGCCATGATTTACGTGCTGGGGAAAAAAAATTGTCAATCCTAAATTCTATATCTGGCAAAATTATGATTTAGAAATGAATAGGAAATATAGAATTTTGCAAACAAAGAAAATCTAAGGGAATTTGTCACTAGCAGATCTACACTAAAAGAATGGCTAAAGGAAGTTTCTGAAACAGGAAAGAAATGATATAAAAATAATCTTAGAAAACCAGAGGGAAAGAAAGAACAAATTATGAGTAAATAGACTTCCCTTCTCCTCTTGAGTTTTCTAAGTTACATTTGGCACTTGAAGCAGAAACACTGTTTGATGTGGCTCTCAGCATATAGAGAGGAAATATTTAATATTTGTATTTATTAATATTTAATATTATAAATGAGGGAGGGTTAAAGAGACTTAAAGGGACGTACATTTTCTATTCTAAACCCCACTCAAACTAGTAAAATCTCAACGCCAGTAGACTGTGATAAGTTATGTGTGTTTAACTTAGAGGAACCACACAATTTTCTTACAAAGAGAGAGTCTGGTCAAAAACACTAATAAATAAATCAAAGTGGAATTCTAAAAAAAGGTTACTGTATGATGCTACACTCTCAAAATTACAAAATTATAGACGGCAAACAGATTGGTGATTGCCAGGTGTTAGTGATGATAAAGTGTTGGGGGAGGGAAATAGATGTTATAAAGGGAGACAGACCTCTGTGATGATAGAAGATGAGACCCCTCTGTACTATCTTTGCAACTTCCTGTAAAGCTGTAATTATTTAAAAATAAAAGGTGAACAAAAAATTATGTAGCAAACCACTTACCTGGCACGCATCTCTGTTTCCTTTCAAGGATCCAGCACATAACATTCTAGGAGTTATGGCATTATTGTAAGCTTTGTGTTCATTACAGATTTTAGTGTCTATGAGATTCACCTGTACTTGCCGAAGGTGATTTTGACTACTTCCTAAAGGAAAAAAATAGACTTCATATTTATAAATCTACATATATTCTATAAACCTGAAGAAAGTCTTTTATAATTAATTATTAGATAAGATGGTGGCATAGAATCTTAGGATATATAGTTTTTCAGGTACAGTAAAATTTGGGAAATGAATTCTTTTCTAACTATTTTAAATGAAGTTAGGTGGCTAGGAAAGAAGCTCCAGTTGTTTAAGTAATTTCTCTGTCATTGTTAAGCTTAGAAGATAATTTCAGCAGGGGAGAATGGTGGCTTTATGATTCTCTGATCTTCACAACTGGGTGTATGTATTAATGATCCCTAATCTCTTATGTGGTTAATACCCTAGTAAAAATTTCAGATATATTTACTCTTTCAGACACCTTACCAAGCACAATTACTATAGTGGTAGTGATGTATTTGATAGTAACCTAAGGCCTGAAGGAATTTATGTGTCTTCTAAATGACTTAGTTCACAAGTAGGGCCTGACTTGGCCCCGGTCCATATGACCAACCCACAAACATATTTTGGCATAATGGCATTCCATTTTTTAAATGCCTTAGAATACCAAATTAAATTACTATGATTTGACTTTCTCCTCAGATGCGCACCATCATTTTGCAGTGCTCCAAATCCTGTCACAAACATCTCATCACCAGGGTGGAATTCACGGGATGCATCAGGGAGACAAATTCTGTGTACTGCATTTGTGTAGGAAACAGGGCTAGAAAGCTCTGCAACTGAAATATCATAGTCATGTGATGGATATTTGTATTTTTCATGCACAATTATCCTCCGGAGGCCTTGTTTCATTTTTGGAGGCTCTATTTTTACTCCAAAGGAAGCAGTCCATCTGGCTGGGTCCTTATACCTGAGGAGAAAGTATGAGGAACAAATCCTACTTTACCATTTTTACCAATATAACTATTTATATTAAATAATTTAATGTAAAAGTATCCATGTAAGTTTTCTTTTTAAAATGATGGTTTATATGCATAGATACAAACTCTTTCCAATCTAAGGCTCAGGTGTCAGATCAGGTGGAAATTCCACCTTGGCATGTTTCTTAGGATATGCACGCCACTCAGCATGCTGAGTCACCCACTCCAGATCCTAGGACCTTTTGACATTTCTGGGCATCAGTTGACTCCAGGGGACATATGGAAAGCATATCCTGTACAGAATGAGAGAAGTGAATGTATTCTATGTGCACCATGTTGCCTATCCACACATTTCTCTGAAAATCAAAAATGTTATACAATAATTTAACAAAGCATTACTTATCCTGTATACTGTAGGCATTTTGCATTGGGTTGGAAGATTGAATTGAAATTCCTTGAAATATAACTAGTCGACCTATTCAGTTGTATAATTTGTTACTACCAAATTTCTTCATATTTAATTTTTTCGTACAACGTGGAATTTCCCTATCAGGGTCAAACCTACAATCCACCTAGCCTCTATCTCTGATAGATGACTCTCAAATTCCTGCTTCCTTTGATAAATTATTGTGTAGTTGTCAATGGATAATTTATCTACATGTACTTTGGTACCATTTACATTTCTAAACTATAAAACCTCTTACTAAGGTTTATGAATTTCCCACTCTCATATGTATATGATCTTTAATTTGTATTAAACTCATCTCTCATGAGGTATTTCCTTCCTGCCAAGCCGCAGTACACTTTGCTTACCCTTAGTCATTCTCAAGGTTCAGGACTTACGTTCTAAAGCAGTGAGCAGCACTCACAAGCCATGTGTCATTAATCAAAGTTGCTCCACAGCGATGGATCCCATCCCATTGCAGACTAGCTTGCCATGGCCATTCACCCTCTTGTACCTCTGTCCCACCAACAATCCTGAGACTCTGTCTTCTAGTTTTGTTCCTTCGTGTCCCGCAGCCTGCAAAAGAGATGATGCGTTAGTTAGCAGTTGTTTTTTAAGTATCAAATTGTGTTACTGTGTCTCAAATTTCTTATACTTTGTGCTTCAACAGTATCAAATATTTTCTCTTGCTCTTACCTTTGCTTAAACTGTAGTGTTCCATTTATTTAACTCCTTTTCATCTTGTAAGATTTAAATCAGTCATGACCTTCTCTAGGATGCCTTCCCTAATAATTCCCTTGCCTCCAGACTGGATTACTTATGACTTTCTTGATGCTTACATCAAAATAATAATAACAATAATAATACTCTGTGTATATATATCTCTCTATATAATAGATTAATATATATTAGTTTATATTATTGTATGTATATGTGTCTAATATTAGTATGAGGGATATTGTTTATAACAGGATGTCTCAATCTTGGCACTATTGACACTGTTAGATGGAGAATTCCTTGTGTGGGCAGCCGTCTCATGCATAATAGGATGTTTAAAGGATCCCTGGCCTATATACACTAGTACCAGTAGCATCCCCCCACTACAGTCATGATAACCAAAATGCCACAATAGGACAGAGTCACTTGGGGGCCAAATTGCCCCTGTTTGAGAACTATTATTTTAGAACTCTGTTTATGCATTAGTCTCATATATCTAGTCTCATTTGAGTATGAGCTGCCTTAAGCAAGGAGTAAATCTTATCCATTTTATATCCCTGTTGACTAGCACAGCACTAGCACATAGCAAGTTCCCACTAAATATTGGTGACAAAAATATATGCCATTTAGGTAATGGGATTATCCTTTGGTTTTTATGTTTAGTTAAGTTTGTGAATTAACCAACATTCTGAGCTGGTGAATAACACACTTCCTTTCATCTTTTAACATAAATGTATTGTGTACTAATTCTGTTAAATATCAAATGTATTCTCTAAATCATGGCAGGGTACTCTGCTATAGGGGAAAGGAAATACTAAGCCTTGAGTCAGTATTTTTTTTAAATATGGGTGAAGATATTATCTGGGCCTTCAATAATTTCATCAGTCTATACTCCAACCCCGTAATTGTCTGTAATTTTTACAATAGGGATTAATAACATCAAGATTTTATTTAGTGTAGAGTAACACTAAATTTCTGCCTCTAGCTGACAAATAGCAACATACAGATTACTTTTGTATAATCTTTAGAAAATGTTCATGAGAGTATATTGTAGATATCTGCAATCAGAACATTGAGAAGTATTTTTGCCTTTTCTTTAACAACTGTACTATCTTCCACTACACATCTGCCACAAGCCCCATACACCCATTCCAAAGTCCTCCCAGTTTTTATCCTTTTGCAATAAAATGTGCCTCAGAAATAAGATAAAATACCATGAGCTGTGCACAGATCAAACTTTGTTCTGACCCTATAATACCAACAAAGTAAGCCTAAATAATCCAGAGTTAAATTTTTCATTCAGGTAATGCAATTTTAATAAATATATTAAACTTACAATTGTTTAGAAAGTTGTCTGTTTCTGTCTCGTTGATTTCTGAAACACACAGAAATGGTGAATAGAACAGGGTCTGCACATCAGAATTTCTTAATGCCTCTGAGTACTTCAAATACTAAAGGTTGCTCAATTCCATTATCGGATAGTATCTCTATGTTGTTAAAAAAAAGCAACACAGGGCTTCCCTGGTGGCGCAGTGGTTGAGAGTCCGCCTGCCGATGCAGGTGACACGGGTTTGTGCCCTGGTCTGGGAGGATCCCACATGCTGTGGAGCGGCTGGGCCCGTGAGCCATGGCCGCTGGGCCTGCGCGTCTGGAGCCTGTGCTCCGCAACGGGAGAGGCCACAGCGGTGAGAGGCCCGCGTAGAGCAAAAAAAAAAAAAAAAAAGCAACACAGTTAGTTTATCATAGATAGAATACGTTCATTGTCTTGGGGAGAAGGGAGATTTGAACAGTGTTTCTTAAACTTTAGTGTGGCTAAAAGTCACCTAGAGAGCATCTTTATACTGTAAATTCCTGTTCCTCTTCCCAGTGATTCTGACTCAGTAGCTTTGTGCTGAAACCCAGGAATCTGAATTTTATAGCCGGAAATAAGATGCAGGTAGTTCAGCCTTTTGCGTGGGACATACTATTCTAAACCAGAGTATTGATTGCCCAGATGCGATAGTATTTTTATTGACCATTATTTCAGATTTTTTTTTTTTTTACCAAACTCATAGGCATAGTTCCATCTGTATAACATATTCCAGTGGCCATAAATTTGTCCTTATTCCCATTTAAAAGCAAATGTTATCCTTTTCCAGGTCTTCTTTCTGCTGAAGTTTTAGCAAGACAGTTTGCCCTCAAATTGTCATTCAACTCTAGCCATTCAACTCTAGTGGCTCCTTAGTTTGTTGACTTGTCAACAATCAGGCCCTAATCCTATCCAAACACTAAACCAACCGACAGATACATAAAACTTTAAGAACTCAAATTTCCTGACTCAGTAGATTTCCAATGGCCCAACCTATTTTCTTAGAACCTGGTAAGATGGGAGTTCTAAATGCAAAAAATTTTAAAGTTAATTTTTCTTTTAGTATTTAATAATATTGATTTACCAAAAAAAAAATATCTGTATTCTTGAGAGGCTTCTTTCTGACTTTCTCTGTTCTGGCTATATTTGGGGAAAATGACAAAAATGAGGAAGAAGTGACCATTTATTCTCAGTAAATAAAACACCACCACTAGTCTCCCTATTTCAATAACCTGTTCTTTATTTCAAGCTTTTCCTAGAGAAAATTCTGGCTTTGCATTTGTTTTAATTGAAGTATATTTTCTTTACAATGTTGTATTAGTTTCTGCTGTACAGTGACGTAAATCAGCTATATGTATACATATATCCCCTCCCTCTTAGACCTCCCTCACACCCCACTCACCCCACATCCCACCCATCTAGGTCATCACAGAGCACTGAGCTTTCTGTGCTTTATAGCATGTTTCTACTAGCTATTTTACACATGGTAGTGTACATATGTCAATCCTAATCTCTCAGTTTGTCCCACCCTCCCCTTCCCTACCTGTGTCTACCTATCTGTTCTGTACATCTATGTTTCTATTCCTGCCCTGCATATAGGTTCATCTGTACCATTTTTCTAGATTCCACATATATACGTTAATATACAGTACTTGTTTTTATCTTTCTAGCTTACTTCACTCTGTATGAAAGACTCTAGGTCCATCCACATCTCTACAAATGACCCAATTTCATTCCTTTTTATGGCTGAGAAATATTCCATTGTACATATGTACCACACCTTCTTTACCCATTCATCTGTCATTGGACATTTAGGTTGTTTCCATGTCCTGCCTATTGTAAATAGTGCTGCAGTGAACATTGGGGTACATGTGTCTTTTTGCATTATGGTTTTCTCAGGGTATATGCCCAGTACTAGAACTGCTGGGTCATATGGTAGCTCTATTTTTAGTTTTTAAAGGAACCTCCATACTGTTCTCCATAGTGGCTGTAACAATTTACCTTCCCATCAACAGTGCAAGAGGTCTCCCTTTTCTCCACACCCTCTCCAGCATTTATTGTTTGTATATTTTGTGATTATGGCCATTGTGACCAGTGTGAGGTGATACCTCATTGTAGTTTTGATTTGCATTTCTCTAATAATTAGTGATGTTGAGCATCTTTTCATGTGCCTCACTGCTATATGTATGTCTTCTTTGGTGAAATGTCTATTTAGGTCTTCTGCCCATTTTTAGATTGGGTTGTTTGTTTTTTTTGATTTGAGCTCCATGAGCTGTTTGTATATTTGGGAGATTAATCCTTTGTCTGTTGCTTCATTTGCAAATATTTTCTCCCATTCTGAGGGTTGTCTTTTTGTCTTGTTTATGGTTTCCTTTGCTGTGCAAAAGCTTTGAAGTTTCATTAGGTCCCATTTGTTTATTTTTGTTTTTATTTCCATTACTCAAGGAGGTGGTTCAAAAAAGATCTTGCTGTGGTTTATGTCAAAGAGTGTTTTTCCTATGTTTGCCTCCAAGAGTTTTAGAGTCTCCAGTCTTATATTTAGGTCTTTAATCCATTTTGGGTTTATTTTTGTGTATGGTGTTAAGGAGTGTTCTAATTTCATTCTTTTACATGTAGCTGTCCAGTTTTCCCAACACCACTTATTGAAGAGGCTGTCTTTTCTCCATTGTATGTTCTTGCTTCCTTCATCATAAATTAGATAACTATATGTGCATGGGTCTATCTCTGGGCTTTCTATCCTGTACCATTGATCTATATTTCTGTTTTTGTGCCAGTACCATCCTGTCTTGATTACTATAGCTTTGTAGTATAGTTTGAAGTCAGGGAGCCTGATACCTCCAGCTCAGTTTTTCTTTCTCAAGATTGCTTTGGGGTCTTTTGTGCTTCCATACAAATTGTAAAACTTTTTCTTCTGATTCTGTGAAGAATGCCATTGGTAATTTGATATGGATTGCACTGAATCTGTAGATTGCTTTGGGTAGTATAGGTATTTTCACAATATTGATTCTTCCAATCCAAGAACATGGCATATTTCTCCATCTGTTTATGTTATCTTTGATTCCTTTCATCATTGTTTTATAGTTTTCTGAGTACAGACAGGTCTTTTGCCTCCTTAGGTAGGTTTATTTCTAGGTATTTTATTCTTTTTGTTGCAATGGTAAATGAGATTGTTTCTTTAATTTTTCTTTATTATCTTTTGTGGTTCGTGTATAGGAATGCAAGAGATTTCTGTGCATTAATTTTGTGTCCTGCAGCCTAACCAAATTCATCAATTAGTTCTAGTAGTTTTCTGGTGGCATCTTTAGGATTTTCTATGTATAGTATCATGACGTGCAAACAGTGACAGTTTTACTTCTTCTTTTCTGATTTGGATTCCTTTTATTTCTTTTTCTTCTCTGATTGCCATGGCTAGGACTTCCAAGACTATGTTGAATAATAATGGCAAGAATGGACACCCTTGTCTTCTTCCTGATCTTAGAGGAAATGCTTTCAGTTTTTCACCATTGAGAATATTTGCTGTGGCTTTGTCATATATGGCCTTTATTATGTTGAGGTAGGGTTCTTCTTTGCCCATTCTGGAGAGTTTTTATCATAAATGTGCATTGAATTTTGTCACAAGCTGTTTCTGCATCTATTGAGATGATTATATGGTTTTTATTCTTCAATTTGTTAATATGGTGTATCACATTGATTGATTTGTGTATCATGAAGAATCCTTGCATCCCTGGGCTAAATCCCACTTGATCATGGTGTATGATCCTTTTAATGTGTTGTTGGATTCTGTTTGCTAGTATTTTGTTGAGGATTTTTACATCTATATTCATCAGTGATATTGGTCTGTAATTTTCTTTTTTTGTAGTATCTTTGTCTGGTTTTGGTATCAGGGTGATGGTGACCTCATAGAATGAATTTGAGGGTGTTCCTCCCTCTACAACTTTTTGGAAGAGTTTGAGAAGGATGGTGTTATCTCTTCTCTAAATGTTTGATAGAATTTGACACTAAAGGCATCTGGTCCTGGACTTTTGTTTGTTGGAAGATTTTTAATCACAGTTTCAATTTCATTACTTGTGATAGGTCGTTTATATTTTCTAATTCTTCCTGGTTCAGTCTTGGAAAATTGTACCTTTCTAAGAATTTGTCCACCTCTTTGAGGTTGTCCATTTTATTGGCATATAGTTGTTTGTAGTGTTCTCTTATAATCCTTTGTATTTCTGTGGTGTCAGTTGTAATTTCTCCTTTTTCGTTTCTAATTTTATTGATTTGAGTCCTCTCCTTTTATTTCTTGATGAGTCTGGTTAAAGGTTTATCAATTTTGTTTATCTTCTCAAAGAACCAACTTTTAGTTTTATTGATCTTTGCTATTGTTTTATTCATTTCTATTTCATTTATTTCTGCTCTGATCTTTATGATTACTTTCCTTCTACTGTTTGGGTTTTCTTTGTTTTTCTTTCTCTAGTTGCTTTAGGTGTAAGATTAGATTGTTTGTTTGAGATTTTTCTTGTTTCTTGACATAGCACTGTATTGCTATAAACTTTCCTCTTGCTACATCCCACAGGTTTGGGTCATTGTGTTTTCATTGTCATTTGTTTGTAGGTATTTTTTTATTTCCTCTTTGATTTCTTCAGTGATCTCTTGATTATTTAGTGACACATTTTTTAGCCTCTATGTGTTTGTTTTTTTACAGTTTCTTTTCCAGTAATTGATTTCTAATCTCATAGCATTTTGGTTGGAAAAGGTGCTTGATACAATTTCAATTTTCTTAAATTTTCCACTGCTTGATTTGTGACCCAAGATGTGATCTATCCTGGAGAGTGTTCCATGCGCACTTCAGAAGAAAGAGTATTCTGCCACTTTCGGGTGGAATGTCCTATAAATGTCAATTAAATCTATCTGGTCTATTGTATTATTTAACAAGACCCATATATATTCTGTCTACAAGAGACCCATTTCAGACCTAGGGACACATACAGACTGAAAGTGAGGGGATGAAAAAAGATATTCCATGCAAATGGAAATCAAAAGAAAGCTGGAGTAACAATACTCACATCAGATAAAATAGACTTTAAAATAAAGACTGTTACAAGAGATAAGGAAGGACACTACATAATGATCAAGGGATCAATCCAAGAAGAAGATATAACAGTTATAAATATTTATGCATCCAACATAGGGGCACCTCAATACATAAGGCAAATGCTAACAACAATAAAAGGGGAAATTGACAGTAACACAATAATAGTAGGGGACTTTAACACCCCACTTACACTATGGACAGATCATCCAAACAGAAAATAAATATGGAAACACAAGCTTTAAATGGCTTTGCATGTTGATACTGTTAAAAAAAGAAGTAAGGAGACTCAAAATGGAGTGACTTGTTGTAAGTCCTATATCAGCAAACCACCTAATACCTAGCCTAATTGCAGTTTCAGCATGTCTCAGGAATGTGACCTTTAATCAGTCAATCTGGAATTACCTGGTCGGCACCAGTGAAGTAATCTGTCTGATAGACCCCACCTACTCCCAAATGAAGTTGCCATTTCATGACACAGTCCACTCTGTTAGAAAGCTTCCTTGTCTCACCTCCTTCTGGCTATAAAAATCTTCCGTTTTGTACAGCTCCTCAGAGCTCCTATCTATCTGCTAAGGCGGAATGCTGCACAATTTGTGAATCATTAAATAAAGACAATTAGATCTTTAAATTTATTTAGTTGAATTTCTTTTTTTTTTTATATACAATACTACTAACAGGGCTGACTTCATGGGTGTGTGACTTGTGTATCTGCACTGAGTCCTGCTCTCAGCATGACATCTCACTTGGTTTAATGTTCACTGTCTTGAAATTCATAATAATTTTATCTCATAACATGTTTGGAAGTGAATTTTGACAGGATAATAGAGATAGCATGGGCAGAGGAGATATACACAATAGGTGTGCCCATGGATTCTTGCTACCCCATTTGTATATATCATGCACAATATCCTAAGAACTAAGAATTCCAGTGGACCCACAATGTTTAGCATACTCAAAGTGAGTATAAGTGTGTGATGTCTACCACTGTGTAAGCAGAGGGCAGTGACAGTCTCAGGAGGCTGTTTTCTGTTTGAACCAGAACTTGCTTAGAACACAAAAGAAGGCAATGGCATTCTAATAAACATGAATGACTAAGGGACCCTCTCATATCCTTTCTTGCTCCTGTTGTTTCTCCTGTTGTATTAGCCAACAGCTTCAGCTGAAAATAATGACATATAAGGATATTTTGGTTCTTCCTCACATAAGCTGAAGGTAGAGAGCATTGGTAAAATGTGCCTGTATCAAGAAGGGAAATAAAAAATGTTGAGCTAGACTTCTGTAGTGTTTCCATTGCATGGAACCAAAATACATGCATGGATGAGCTATGAAATACAGTTGTATAATTTTCATGATTCCAAATAAAAGTTAAACGCTTTTATATTTACATTTGAAATTGACATTTCACAATATAAAGGTGAAGAGCAAAACTCATGCTAGTAATTTAAAGTTTGGATTTTTTTCACTTAGAAATCATTAATTAACAAGTAAAAATGCCATGATAAGTCGAGAGAGACCATGAAAGAAAGCAAAGTCTTATATCTTAGTACCTTTAACAGCATTGTTCAATTGCTTTTCAAAGAGTCCTACACTTTCACTTTGCACTGGGCCCGACAAATTACATAGCTGGCCCTGACAAGTGAGCCTCCTTTTCTAAGCAAGTAGAGGGGCTGACCACCAGGTTAGGCCTCTAGTTACATCTGTCAGCTTTTATATCAGCACTTGTATTCATTCTTTCTACTTGTCCCCTATTCTGTAGTTTCTAGTGCTGCCATATCCAATATTCTATTCACTAGCCACATGCGCCTAGTGAGCTCTTGAGATGTGACTGAAATGCGCTGTAAATATAAAATATACAATAGATTTCAAAGACTTATTACAAAAAAAAATCTCACGAGTAATATTTACATGGGCTATTTGTCAATATAAATTACATTGTGAATACAATGTAAATTACATTAGCATTTCAACCAGTAGTCAGTTATTGGACTACTTGTTGAAATAGTACTACTTTGGATATATTGGGTTAAATATATAAATTATTTAAATACATTTCACATGTTTACTCTTACTTTTTTAATGTGCCTACTAGAAAGTTTAAGATCCTACATGTGGCTGGCACACTATTTCCACAGACTAGCATTGTTCTATAGCACATGACTTAGCTTTAACCAGTCTTTTATTTTCCCTAAGGATCTCCTATTTTTGTACTTTCTAGTAATGAGGACCTATCACTGTCTATCTTGTCCCCCTGCCCTGACAAAAACAAAAACCTCAGATTTTTCAAATTAGTTGTAAAATGTACCAAAAATAATTTATACCAGAAACTAAATTATAAACTTTTCATCAGTAAAGGGCCTAAGTAAAAAAGCTAAAACAAAAACCTCAGATTTTTCAAATTAGTTGTAAAATGTACCAAAAATAATTTATACCAGAAACTAAATTATAAACTTTTCATCAGTAAAGGGCCTAAGTAAAGAAGCTAATGACATTTGAAAGCAAATATGTGGATGGCATGAACCTTTCCATCCATCATACTCAGAACATAAAAAGTAAGCAACAAGAAAAAGAAGAGGAATAAACGCACAAAGCCACTTTCTCCATTTATCATTGGATTCTATAGCTAAAGTGTAAGCCCCAACATAGAAAAAGAACACAGGCTCAGGGGTTAATGACAGACTTGCATGGGTGGTGTAAGTTTAAGGTACTATTAAAAAATTTTAAACTTCATTAGAACCAATTTAGTCCAAAAGAAATATTCTGTTGGTGGCAAGATCCCTACAATGAAAGACATCCAAAAACGTTTTAAAAAATCAGTGCCCAAGACCAAACTTAACATGGAGCTATTCTATGTAAGAGAATTGAACTACATAATAGGAAATAAACTTACTTTTAATTTCAACAAGTTCAGGATGGAATTTAGGGTGTCCTACAGCATCTTGCAGCTTTTTATGTAGAACATGTTGAATAATTTTATTTACAGTTTCAGGATCCTCAGAAGAGGGAAATCTAAAAATCAGCAGCATATGAGCCAATACTCCATGTTCCTCTTGACTATGGACCAAAAAGGAAAAAAAAAAAAAAAAAGAGAAAGATGGTTTTTAAAGATAAAGTTCCAAATAAGATTTATGGTAATATCAAACTCTATTTTTTTCTTTATCATTCATTTGAAGCACAAACACAAACACAAAACAAATCCATAAATGCAATTTAAGAAGTTTTAATTTGTTTTCTTCTGTACTCCTATTGCTTGTCATATATAGAACTCCCATCTCAGCCTCTCTGATAAGCAACTAGTATGCTCATGATCTCCCTTACCACCATAGGATCTAGTTAAATACTTGGGTTATTAATATAAAAAATAATTCTCTTGTCAACAATTCAAAATTATCAAATAAAATGTATGGTAAATATGAAATCAACTCTGGCTTTGGCTTTCAGGCTTAATTTCCAGTGGCTTAAGTAAATCCAGTGATTTCTCCTAAGCAGCCTTCAGGCTATCCTAAACAACTCCCAACCCTAAGGACATTAGAAAGCTTGAGCAAGTTGTTTTGACTTCACGTGATTATATTTCCAAGATAGAGTGTTCACTAGCTTTAGCATTATTTGAATGAATTACTACTTTGGAATCATCCTTTATTTATTTTTTTGGAATCATCCTTGACTACACTTTCATTCTCTGTCAGTTACTCTACCCCTTCTTTTCAAATGCAATCAGTTCCCTTTTAGTCTGGGTGCAATAAGCTGCCTCAGTGCTGGGCCCTGGGATGGGTGAGCCTAAGTGCATGGGCCCTTTAAGAGCCATCTCCCAGATGGCTACAGTTTTGTGGTTCTCAGAACTCAAGCACTGTTTATTTTCAAAGTTAGATGTTTTGGAGGCTCATCTCTCAGGTGCACATCCTAAAAGTTGAGGTGCCTGATATGGGGTTCGAACCCTTCAGTCACCAGGGAGAATCTCTGGGTTTTGAGTTTTCTTCTGGTGTGGATTGCTCTGCGGGGGTGGAGTTTATGACAAAATTGTGTCCCATTGTCTCCAGCCTGCTTCAATGTGGTTTTCTTCTCATTTGCCCAATGTGTAGTATTTACTCAGCCAACTTTTTTTTTTTTTAAGGGAAAATTGTTTCTTATGTAGCTGCAGACTCAGTGTGTCCATGGGAGAAGGTGAGTTTAGTTCTTCCTACTTCACCATCTTGAACCAGAACCCCAAACAATTTTACTCCTCACTGTATACTGCATCAACTCCTATGCTCCCAAACTGTAAGTGTGAATATAAATTAGAATCTCATTTTTGGAAGGCAGTTTATCTGTTATAAATTTGACTATCCATCTTCTTTGATGCAGCATTTCTGCTTTTAGAAGTTTAATTTTCAAATACACTCTTTTGTGTGCAAGGAGATACGTACACATATGTTGTCATAACCTTATTTTTAAATCAGAAAAATATGTAACAACCCAAGTGTTCATCAAAAGGGCATTGGCTAAATCAATCTTGACATATACTTGTAGTGAAATACTATACAGCCAGCTAAAGAATGAAATAGATCTATATGCAGTCATTGGGAAAATGTTAAATATAAGTTAACAAAATGTATCATTTCTGGGTGTGAAATTATTGGAGAGGGGGCTTTCGCTTTCTATTTTTTGTAATACTGTGTTATTTGAATTTTATAAAATTTTCTATTGTTTTTGTAATCTGAAAAAAACAAATAGGACTTTAAAGAGATTATTGTTATATATCTTATCCCATTTCACTGCCTCAGCAACCCTATCATCTATTACTTACTCTTTCTTATTTATCTTAAACTATTCCTATACTGGCTGGCTAATAGAGACAAAAACAAACAAAACTCTCCCTCTACCCCAGCTATACAATTTATCTCACACCTTCATATCACAGAAAACCTTCTTAAATGGGTAAATTACATTCTGCCTCATATTTACTTCATTGCAGTCTGCATCCTCCCCTTCTGTTCCACTGAGTTGTTTCTCTGCTTGAACACTAATGACTTCCTCATTGACATTTCCAATGGATTCTTTCTAGTCACATTACTTGGCGTCTCAGGAGTCTTGTTGATGCTGACCACTCACTCCCTGAAACGTTCTGTTGTTAGCTTCAGTGGTGCCTCTCTTGTTTCTTCATTTTCCCTGCTCCTTCCCTATTTCCTAGGTTCCTATTTTTCTTCTATTTCCTTAAATACTGTCATTCTTCAAGCTTTCTTCATCATCCTTTTTTTTCTTGCATTACTCCTTTTCTGAGAAATTCTGTTGACACCCACACTTTCTAATACTTTGAGTTGATGTTGAGCAAATTTATGTCTTCAGCTCAGTTTCCATTTCCTCCCTTATGTCAGACGCATATTTCAGGCTCGTAAGTTCCCTTAGTACCTCAAATCAACATCTCTAAGACTGACTTTATCTTTCCAACAAATTACACTTCTTCATATTGTAGTAACAGAAGAAAGAATGAGTAGCAAGATTTCTGGGATGAAGGCGTAAACAAAATAGAAAGTTATTTGGAAGACAGAATTGGTAGTTATTCATAAAGTGCAAGGGGCCCAGGAAAGGGAGGAGTGTGGGATGACTTCCAGTTTTCTCATTAGTGTGATTGGGTTTTTCTTGAGTTTAAGAATTTTCTGTGAAACCTCCATGTGGAGGTGTGCGTGGGCAGGCATATAGTTCTAAAAATCAGGACAACAGTTTAGACTGGAAATAGAAACTTGGGTTTCAATAGCACATGAAACCATGTTGTGGGTGGATGAAGTCCCCTTGAGAGAGTGAAAATTTAAGAACTGGAGAAGCAGATCTAAGAAAAAGTAAAAATTCAAACACCAAACAGTATGGAATTTTCAGGAGTGAGCAAACTAACACCTCAGAGATGTCAACTAAGTAATAGACTGAGAAGTAACTTGGAGTTTTTGTCATTGAAATAATGTTGGAAATAGCTCTTGTTTTATTTTGAAAATAAAAATAATTTGTATTAAGACGATACATTACTTAAGATCCTCATATAGTATTTTGCTTAAAATGTTATGTTCTGGATTCTATTTATTGATGGTTGATGATCAGATCTGAGATCTTAAGTATTTGTAGAAAAAATGAGTGGAATGAAAGAAAGGAAAGAAAATTGGTAGGAAGGAGAACCAAGAGGAGAAGAAAAATCTCATCTACTACACTATTTTACATAGGACACTTATTTGCTATTAAACCGAGGGATGTGGCCTAGGTCCCTATTTGTGCTAATTAGCCATTCCAAAAAAACACACAAACAAACAAACAAAAAAACAGTTCTATAACATAGCCACCAATAACACTTCTGTCCCTCAAAATCATCTTGCAAATGCCTTGTTTTGAATTTAAAGACTGAGTAAGGCACATTGTAACCCATGACTTATACAGAGCAGGTACCAAATTAACGTCTGTTGAATTGAATTATATCATATCATTAACACTTCAGACAGTATTTATTACTGACCAGGTTAACAGCTTTAGCTTTAAATTATATTCAGAAGTCAGCATTTTAGATCTACATACCTGAACTTGATAATGTGAGACTTGACAAATGCTTGCCTCAATGAAGATTTATGAAATGCATTATTCACCTGTTCCAAAAATATTCAAAATACGTCAGCAAGGATAATTTTCTGAAATTCTGCAAATTGATTCAAAGCTTAAAAACATTTTTAAAAAACTTAAAAACAAAACACATTGACTGACATTTCACAATGTGCTAAACTTGAGGAATCTCTTTTTGTATTCTACTCAGTGATTTCAACTGAACTCTGCCTTAGGAATTATAGGAACTGGGGAACCATAGTAGGGGGGCCAGGAGTGACATCTTCTATGTTACACTCAGAAAGAGACAAAAGAGAATAAACAGATTGGGTTTTGAAAAGTAAGAGTAAGCATCCACACTGTGAGATACAGATTTTTACAGTAGATAAACAAAGGAAGTGAAAAAGCTCTGTCAAGTGGTAGATCATAAAAATAAGGACAATCTATGGCCACACCATCCTGAACATGCTGGATCTCATCTAATCTCAGAAGCTAAGCAGGGTCGGGCTTGATTAGTACTTGGAAGAGGGAAATGAACGCATAATGGTGTCACATGGTTCTCAAACCTGGTGAAAAAGTTACCAAATATCCTGCTTTAATCTGCACTCAATTCAGCACTCAAGATGCTCTTAGGAAGGCCCAGGTGAACTGGGATACATAGCCTAATACCTCCTATAAGGTTTATTCTAATAGGGTGGAAGAATGTATTTTGTGGAGGTATTTCTTACTACTACAAATAAGAATTCTAGCCAACTTAAATTTTTAAATTAAAAGTCAAGATAAACACAGCAAGTGTTTCTTGTTTTCACTGTATGGATATTTACCAAATACAGATACTACAAGCTGGTAATTGACTGACAGAAACAATGACCCTTTTTATTCTTTCTTACATTTTGTTTGACTTCTGAGTCTTTGTGCCCAAGGAAAGTTACTTCAATTATGAGACAAATCAGCACAATTCAAATGAGTTCTCTAATGACAGCATTCACTTGGAAATATTTATTTAAAGGTTTATTTTTCATCAAACAATTTCAAAATTATTAATTTTTAAGAGTGTTAGAGTCTTATTTATATTCCTATATATTTAAGTCAGTCTGGATCTTATAAAAATTTTAGTGAATGGCACAAAAAACAAGGAAAATAGTTGCATCTTTACTTGATCTCTTTAGTTCTATTTCCTTTCCTTTAATATATGTTATATTTTAAGCAGATATATATATATATATATATATCTCCTAAAATATAGCTCCTTAAAAAGAGCTTATTTGATATTTCCCTGGTTTGGTGTTTACAAGTACAAATACAACCAGGATTTGACCCTCTCCTCAGCAAAGTATCCAAATCCTCAGGCTCCTAGTCTACCAGGCAGTTTCTAGGTGGGCCACTGCCATTCTGTTCTCACTCAGGATATTGGAACTGGAAGACAATTTGGAAATTTTCTAGTCTAGTGCCTTAATTTTCACATAAGAGAATTTTTCCAGAATGATAAAGAGATATGTCAATGACACATCACTGGCTAGTAAATGGTACTAGAACTAGGTGTCCCAACTCCTAGTTTAGGGTGCTTTCCATCACATCATTTCACTAATTACTTCACAGACTACCAGGAAAAGTCTAAATTATTCTCTAAGTAGTCTGACAATGAAGAGAAGTCATCACCCAGGCTCTTGCTCTTTTGGCCTATACTGCTAAATTTTCCACTATTTAAAATATTCAGTTCATTCCTCAGGATGAATGTTGATGCCCTAAGGATAAAGATGAATATCCAAGGATTTCCTATAGACTTATGTACCAAAAACTTGTCCAAGGTTGGATATTTTAAAATACTAAGATATTTCTCAAGTATGGGTCTGAATAGTTTCAATCTTGTGTCCTTTTGCTAAAGGTCTCTTTAGGAAATCAATGATACAACAACTGTATCTTGGGTCACCCTAACATTCTCAGAATTTCTAGACTCTGCTGATCAATACTGTAGCACTAGCTAAGGAAGGGTGAGTAGGAGGTACAAAAAGAAATGGCTAAAAGTCACTAGGTTTAGCCCTGTAAGGCATATTCCTCCAATTCATGTATTGTTAGTTTTGTCATATATCTCTCAGGTAGGGCCTCTCCCCATTTTGCAAGATATACAAGATCAGTTGAATGGATGTTTGAGAAGCTAGGATACTAAAAATTATGGTAAAAAGTGATAGCAAATACCCTAGAAGTGGGAATAAAATGCTTACCATTGATTCAATTTTCTGGCTCATTTCTGTGAAATTTTTAGAAGCCTCTTTTCCAAACTCATCATATAGTTTGTCACTTGTAAATGACAATGTGCTATAGTAATTGTAGGTTGTCTTTTTATCTGCAAGGATAGAGGAAAAAACTCATCATACTTTTTATCAGATGTGTGTAAAGCATCATCATTTCCCCATTTGGTAGTTGCTAGACAGACTGAGACAGGAAACAATGCTACCCTGGTCAACATCTCCATCATCCTGTTCTGACCTTCATGGTTATCTCAAGATAAAAGACAACAACGTTCATCATCATAAGATTTAGAGTATAAAAGCCATATGAAATGCTTGGTGTTCCTGTAGGCTAATTAGTCATGTGTTATCCATTCCTGAATAAGCCACAAGAAGCAGTAAGTCACACCATCTGAGCATATCAACAGGAATAGATTCGGAAGCTTCCCAAGAGTAAATGCATTTTTGTATTTCAAAAGTAGATTTCTTCCAATTCCATAAACTACACATCAATTCTTGCCATAGGGACTCTAGTGTAAGAATATTTATTTTGGATAAGGAGATGAGGGTAGGGATTAAAATGCTAGGAGCTCAGTATATAGAAGTTTAAGGAGGTAGAGTTGCCACTGGACATAACCCTCCAGAGACACTACTTAGTTTCACCTGGTTCCCTTGTCACTCTATTTATTTTCTCCCACCAGCCATAGGAATTGGTTTGTCTGTTTCTTTAGCCATTGTCTCCACTTTCTGCATCCAGTTCAAGCAGCCCATGTTTTTGGTCTGCTGAAGAATTAGTGCAACAATTCAAGCTTTTCCTCTACCCTCCTGTACATGAAGCAAGCACAGAGCTCAGAAGATTCATTCCATGAATATTCAGCTGACTATCTTTTCTGTGAGAGACTCTGTGCCAAGCATCTGGAACATGATGGTTGCGTATGGTTATGATAGAAAAATGGAGTGTGCCTCATCAATCTCAGGTGCTCTCTTGCTTCTCATCCTTTCCCTCACTTAAACCCCAGAGGGAAAGGAAACTAACATTAGACACCTGTGTGCCAAGCATATTTGCATATCTCATTCAATTTAAAATAACTCCCATAAGAAAGTAGTATTATCCACATTTAACAGATAAGGTCTACCGTCTCAGAAGTGTAAATAAATTGCCCAACCTTAACATGACTTGGCCGGAAAAGACTGAACTGGGTTTCAAGCTAAGGTCTAATTCCCAAAGCACAAATTTTCATTATATATTGCTTCTTGGAGTGGAAAAAACCAAATACACCCACTGAGGCTATAGGAGAAATCTCTAGTTTTACATGAGAGTTATATAAGAAAAAAAAAAAAAAACTACCAGTAAATTCCAAAAGAATATTCTAGCCATCCAGAGGATTTGTTGGGACAGAAAAGGAAACCTCTGGTCAGACTCGGACAAGGCCTGGGGAGGGGTTGGTTATGCATAAAGGAGATGGATGACACTGAAAGGTCAGGGTCTCCTGAGCATTAGCCACTTAAGTGAGGGTCTAGGGAGGATTTGCCTTTCTCCCTCTCTTTCACTGAATGACCTTGCCCTTGCCCTGAGGACTGTTTGACCTGAAATGCAAGCAGATCACAATATACACAATTTCAAGTAACATTTTAAATTTATCTAAATATTGACCAATAGTTTACTTTAGGTCTAAAGTTGGGCCCAACATGTATCTGGAGAAAACCATAATTCAAAAAGATACACATACCCCAATGTTCATTGCAGTACTATTTGCAATAGCAATTGTGTTGTATTGTAAATTGTATTGTATTGTAAATTTACTGTTACAATACATGGAAGCAACCTAAATGTCCATTGACAGAGGAATGGATAAAGAAGAGGTGGTACATATACATAGTGGAATAAGAAAGCCATAAAAAAGAATGAAATAATGCCATTGGCAGTGACATGGATGGACCTAGAAATTGTCATACTGAGTGAAGTCAGACAAAGACAAATATCATATGATATTGCTTATATGTGGAATTTTAAATAATGGTACAAGTGAACCTATTTACAAAACAGAAATAGAGTCACAGATGTAGAAAACAAATTTATGGTTACCAAGGGGGAAATGGGGGGAGGGATAAATTGGGAGATTGGGATTGACATATACTCACTACTAGATATAAAATAGATAACTAATAAGAACCTACTGTATAGCACAGGGAACTCTATTCAATACTCTGTAATGACCTGTATGAGAATAGAATTTTAAAAAGTGGATATATGAATATGTATAACTGATTCACTTTGCTGTACGGCAGAAACTACACAACACTGTAAATCAACTATACTCGAATAAAAATTAATTAAAGAAATAAAGTTGGGCCCAAGATTCTGCATTTCTAACAAGCTCCTAGATGAGGCGGATGTTGCTGGTACCTAACCACATGTTGAATAGTAAGGTTCTAAAGAGGAGGAAAACATACTCTTCTACATCCTTAGACCTGTTTCTTTTCAGTTATTAGATTGAATTATTTGAAACTGCCATTTATATAGGTTAAAAATGGTCAAATATCAGCAATTTTATATGCTTCAACCAAATGAACAACTTATCTATAGTCAATATTTTAATTTGCCTGATAGACTCAAATAAGTTGCTAGGTGTCAAAACATATTTCCAGTTACCAGAATTATATGGCATGTGCAGTTGTTGAAAAATATTATTGAGAATATTAACAGAGAAGAAAAATAAGGATGAACATGAGTTTGCTGATAATTTTCTAACAGCTTTGTGATTCTATAACCTACAATGATGTTCATAATAGATTCACCTGCTGTCAGTCAAATCACAAAAGGGACAGAAACGCAGTCCCAAAGGCCACTGGATAAAAACTGAACACACAGTTCTATGCTGTCCTGGGTTTTATGCCAAAATGATGCAGTCTGATCACCTCCATCTTTATCTGCCTGTTTCTACAATAGATTTGTTTGGCTCAGTTTGGTTATCTAGGCATGCCAGCACCTAAATTCTCATGTGTTATATCTACTCTGTTCTTAGGTTATATCTCTAAACAAAAGACAGATCACAAATATGACAGTAACACATATCATAACAATTGCTGTTTATTCAGGTGTGGTGTGTGGGCAGTGAACGTTGTGTGTTCCATATTACTCAGCTTATCATCCCAACAATAGGGTACACAGGAACAGGTTACTGAAATCTTACCAGGTTTTTATTGTATGCATATGAGTAAGATTTGTAAGCCTTATAATACTTGGCTTGGGAAGAGGCAAAGGAGAAGTAGTAAGAACATTTTCTCTCACTGAATTAATAAGATCCCTAACATGACTAGGAATTCCTCGTTAAGTCAGACAAACCAAAATATGCCCCAAGAAAATATCGTAGGTATAATTCATTTATTTTTATCATTCAGTATTCAGTAAACATTAATTATCTAATATGCGCCTAATAAGTTCTTTAATAAGTTCTAGAAATATAAAAATGAGTAAAACATAGGTGTCCATGGAGAGGAATAATGATGCTTACAACATAATGGGACTTAATATATTCAGAATAGAACTGTAGAATTATAAAGTTATTTTAGCTATTCTTTTTATACTAAAAAAAACATGCTCCAGAGAAATTATCAAAATGCAGATAGTCCAAATTCAAAGAACTGCATGTGGGCAAATTCTACCCCCCCAAAAAAAAATCTTTGAATACTTTTTCTTTCAGGAATAATCCACCTTGTTTAGGAAATTGAGATTGGATTTGTGTCTGCTAGTAGAAGATAACCAGTTTACAGATCACCATCTCTCTTTACAAAAAAGCAACTGCTACAAATTCCCAATTCAATTAGAATCCAGTGATTAGCTTCTTTGGTTACAGGGTCTTGAACATCAAAGCATTATCTAGTCACTAAGGGAGATATTAAACAAATAGGTCAAAGTGGAGTCAACTAATTAAAACCTGAGACAGAGTAAGAAGGAAACTTCAGAAGGGTTGTTATGCCCTAGAAGAATAGTTCTGAAGTACCCTGGGGACCTTTCTAATAACATAGCAGTGTTCAGGGTTCATCTAGCAGGGAGGTACCTGATTACCACAGAGTGAACCTCTTTGTAATTAATATTCTCAGCATATCCTATCTCCTTTAATCACTTGCAATATATACCAAGATGATTTTAAAATAACGAATAGGCATTTATTCAACAATATATTACTATAAGCATTTTTCCGACTTACTAGTACAAAATAGAGCCTACTTCCCTATGATCCCTGATTGTACAATTTATTGAGCTGTCGGGATTTCAATGAGTTGGAGTTATTTTAAATCAAGATGATTGTCTTATGACCTCAAACAACCCCAAACATTGGACTGTAGCTTTCCTATGGTTTTCCCTTAATTAAGACTTGATTATTGCTGTTAATGAATATGAAAACTAGCATGCTATTCCCAGCAGGAAGCATTGCTACATCAAAGATAGAAGAAAGAATCCTCCTTGGCTTGTGAGGATTAAATGAGTAACAAGACTGGTGAAGAGTTCTTTGTACCAGCTATGCAAACAAATTATAGAAATGAATGAATAAGCTTGAGGCAAATCAAAACAGGTATATAATCAGGAAATATTTGAGGTAAATCACTTGATGCCAGGGCAACCCATACTTACTGTATCTCACATAATGAACGATGAGTCCGATGCACACTGCCAGGACAATCAGGGATATAAAGGTGATGAGGCCAATAACCCAGGGCTCCAAACAAGCTCTCCTCCTGGCCCTCACCACAGCTGGCCTGAGAAAGAAAGCAAACGATGGATTATATTACAGTGCACACCCATACCCACTCCTTAGGTGAAGTAGATATTCCTGGGGAACTAATTCAGGACACTCAGTTAGAAGGAAGAGTACTGTTTTGTTTTAGAACACACCCTAATCCCTGGCTGCTGAAAGCATTCCTGGCTCTGGTTGCTTGACCTTAGGCAGGTAATTTGACTTCTCTGTATCTCAGTTTCCTCATTCAAAAAATGAAGATGATAATGATAGTACCAATCTTATAGGATTATTGTAAGAATTAAATGAATTACTGTATGTAAAGTGCCTACAACAGTGCCTCGCATGTAGAAAGTTTGCTGAGCCAGCTATGTGCAAGATACCAAGTCGGGCACTTCCACTGTAGAATCTTAAATGGCCTATTATATATGTTACAGTTTGAACCATATTAGGTTGAGGGCAGAGTTTCTAATTCTATTCTCTTACTATTTTTGTGAAACAAACTTAGAAGATACACATAAGAGATAACCAGAGGTCTCTTCTAAAGAACCTGAGTGTTTGAGCTAATATTTACCTCTAAACTTCAGCAATGCTGCAGGAAATCCCTTCTGCATGAAACTTCCTCAACCTCTCCCATTTGTTCTGCCTTCAAAAATACATGTTACTGAAAAATGTTGATCAACCTGATTTTTGTTTGATTAGTAAAGTTGCCATTCCCTTGTGTTAAAATAGCTGCTAAACAAACTCAAAAGTTAGGGAAAATGAAATAAGTCAGAGTTGGCCAAGTTGTTTAAATACGATGCTGTTATTTTAAATTTCTTGAGGTATTTAGCACGTTGGTAGAATCAAGGCATGTGTTCTTATCTCCAGAGCAGTCTGGTACAAGAACTGAGGGAAAGGGAAGTGTTATCCTGAAGGAGCACCTGGGGTTGCTTCAGAATAAAGAGAATTCCAAGTCCAGCCCTTTCCTTACCAGCTTGGACAAGTTATTTAGACTCTGAACTAAGTTTGTCCATCTGTCAATAAGAGACAGCCTACCCATTCTGTTTAAAGCACATGGTTGACTGTGGGACCCAGAATGAGATCATGAATGTGAAAACTTCTTGGAAACTGTGAAGCATTTCACAGTAAATAATCGTTGCTTACAGAAATCAAGAGAACTCTGTTTCCTGATAATACAAGACCAGGAAGTGACATAATCATTCTGGTCCCTGGCATACCATCATCCCATCTTGGCTCTGTCTCAATGTCCTGTTTGGTGGGAACACTGTTGCAGAAGTCAACAGTTTCATCACTACATGACTCTGCCCTGCTGAAGTCACTGGAATGTAGTGGAAGGCTCCAGGGACTCTACTTGGTCTCCTCCCTTATTTCTGTGATATCCCCATGGGGCTGTAGCTGAGGAAACTATCTTTCTCTCCCCAATCTCTTCCATCTCCAGTTCTCCCTTGAGTGGGATTCCAAGCACCTGTTCCTACAATGACAATTACTGTAATATAAAAAGACTTCTCCACTTCTCTTCTGCACACTTCTTACGTGAAAACACGCGTAAGAAACTTATAAATTGACTCCTGTTCCTTCATCCCTGAATGCTTGCTATTCATTTCTTGCAGAAGAAAGGAGATGCATATAGCAGACATAAGCAAAAGTTTGGAGGGAATATGGGGAGGGAAGGGCTTCTCAACTAGTTTCAATACATGTCAGATGAAGAATATGAATTTGTAAATGTAGGAAACAATTGATATTGATATAATCATCAAAAGAATATGTAGAACTGTGAAATATAAGACAGAAGCTCTATTTATTCTACAATAACTCTTAATCAAGACAGAAAATTAAAACAATGCAGCCATTAAATTGATGAGGTAGAGCTACCCGTATTAACATGCAAAATGTCAATGATATATTTTAATGAAAAAATATTGCAGAATAATATGCATGCTATGTTCCAGTTTTTGTACATGATAAAGCTATATGTGTAGGTGCATAGTGAAGTATATAGAAAGACACACAAAATTTTTAACAGTAAGAAGTGGAATAACAGAAGTAAGAGCAACTTTAATTTTAATTTAGGTACTTTTTATGTTATGATGGATTTTAAAAAAAATCATGGCTTTCGAATTAAATGAGAGAGAGAGAAAAAGAGAGAGAGAAAGTAATGAGGACGGTTATACATGTCTCTTCATGGAGTTCCTATCACTATCTTGTTTGAGGTACTGCTGTGTCTTCTTTTCCTGTCTCCCACCTTTCAAAACTATTTTAGGGATGCTCTGTCTTTGGTGGCTTTGAGGGAAATAATAGGGATAGTATGGGATAAAGAAAAAAGAGAATCCATCAAAAACACTTTGAATAAACAGTTAAGAGAGTATGTTTCTGATTCTGACCACCAACCTACTGTATAGTGTGGTACCAGCAGATTCACTTCTCTCCCTTATTTTCTCCATATGAAAAACAAGGATAAGAATTCCAGACCCTTCCTAACTTGATGAGCTCTTAGAGATAAAAATGATGAAGTATTTCATTACTTTGAGCTGCCCAGTAGAAAATCATTGTACAAATAGTAAGGACTATTATTATTATCATCATTATTTTAATTATTAATAATAATGGTAATGACCACATTACTGAGATTTTTTTCATTTGAAACATTATCTCTTCCTTTCCCAGTCTGTATGAGATTGCTTTTCAAACTGATTCACCCTGTTTCTTAATTACTTTTTTTGTTTGTTCTCTCAGCAAGTGATTCCATACTGAATTGCTCCAAATTAGATGTAGTAGAAGTGTGCTAAAAAAAATTAGTAAAATGGAGGAATAAATCTATTTTACATATCAACAGACACTTGTGTAGCTAACCTCTTCCTGCACATAAACACTTGTCCAATCATTACTGGGGCCTGTTGAAACTTACATGAACCTGCTCTTATAAAACCACCTTCAGACAGACTGGATAAATTCTAATAGCTTCAGTGGTATCAGATTTCTTTCTATGATTTTTCTTTTCAATTGGGGATGTGTAATTAGACAGTGAATGTAGCAGTTAAAATATGGTTATATTTTTATAATCTCCAAATTACCAGAAGACAAGTCCAGAGGTGCATTATCATTATCACTTCTTAATGTGTCTTTTTCTAGAATAGTATAAGAAAGAAAAGCAGCAGAAACAACAACAAAAAGAGGAGAGGAAAAAGCATACTACCACAAATAAACCACATGGCAAGCACTGGAGAACCATAAGTCAAGGCTCACAGTGCTTCAGAGGAAAGTTTACCAGAACAAACGCTTTCCTAACACCACCACCATGGACCGATTAATAGTAGATGTCCAACTCATTGCCCATTCTCTGTAATGGTAAGCAGTGCTGATATTCTTAGTTGGAATGTTTCATCAGCTCAGTCCAGCTGAGCTGTTTTGAATGAACATGTGCACAATATCTATAAAGCTGGTGATGCTAATTCATCATTAACTACTTAAGCCAGAGGTCAGCAAAGTTTTCTGTGAAGGTCCAGATAGTAACTATTTTAGATATTCTGGACCACACACTCCCTATTGCAACTAGTCAGCTCTGCCATTGTACTGCAAAAGCAGCTACAGACAATACATATACAAATGAACATGGCTGTGTTCCAATAAAACTTTATTTCTGTACACTGAAATTTGACTTTTGTATAATTTTCACTTGTCATGAAATATTTTTTTAATTTTGATTTGTTTCAACCATTTAGAAAGTATAAAAATCACTCTTAACTCAAGCTCAAAACAGGTCGTGGGCTGGATTTCACCCTTGGGCCATAGTTTACTGATGGCTGACATAAGCAATAGCCTACAAGTCAATGATAATTGTGTTGGGAAGTTAAAATAGTCTTTTCATTTTTTAGTCTCAACTGCATGGCAAATCTAATTTAGTGTGTCTCCAATCCCATTACCGCTAACTTTGTTCTGATAATTGTCACTAAAACTCATCATCCAGCTCGATGACAGGTTTCTCATCTGCCTCCCCAATCTCTGAATCATTATCCATTACAGTAAGTGCTCTTTCTGGAAGTGATAGAGCCAATGGCTAGGATCACTTGAAACCCAAGTTGGCCTCAGTTAGCCTGGCATTCCCCCTCTTCCCCACGAGCTTTCTAGCTCTTTGCCTTTGTTCCTGCTGCCTCCTATATGGAGTAACTCAGAGTCTGTAATTTGCTTGCATCATAAAAGCCTTTGTGCATTTAAGAGCCAGTTCAGAAAAGTCCCCTTTATTTCAGTAAACTATATTCACCCCTAAGTATCACATCATAATATACATCTTGAACCCCTTGGGGATAATGTCTGTGCCTTACTTATCTCTTTATTCTCTGACCACTCTGATGCTCAATATATATTCACAGAGGGGATTGAACTGAAGTTGATTAAGCCAAATTGAACTGACCATTTGTCAGTACCACAACATGGGTTTCAACCTCTCTCAAAGCACTTCTGTTCTGCCTTAGTCTTAGAAAAGAACTTGGAATATTACAAAAAGAAAAGAAAGGTCAGACGTTGTGAAGAATAATTACTATTTAAGTAAAACCTGATTTCCATAAAACACTTTATATAATAATCAAGCTTTGTGGTTGATATGTCTATTTCACCTGTTTAAAATATATAATTTTCCAACTATGATTTTATCTATCTACTGTGAAGTATTATCATAGTTCAGAAAGTGATAAATGAAAATAAGGAGACATTAATTTCAGGAGACACTTCTTATTTGTGGTCATTGAATGTCTGTATATAATTACAATATCCAAACAAAAGCATAAGGAAAGATACCACAATGAAGTAACAGCATAGTACCTCATGACATTACTAATTCCCTAAGTCAGTGCTTAAGTTTTAAAATATTAGTTAATAAATATTTATTCAGTTTTTGTTGAGTATTTGGCACTAGCTCATTTCTTTACCTTATAGATTGTGCCTGCTTGTCTTGTTCACACAAACACTTCAGATGCTTTGTGCTTTGTGGAAGAATCATATCAGCTGGCATTGGTGAGATCTCCA